TTTCAATTTGTACACATTCTCGCAATGCTATGAAAATGTATGGAAGAACAGAAGAGATTCAAAAGTGTCATAAAAATGCATAACACCAACATGAATTGCATTGAAAATGTGCACGTGAAAAATTGTATATGTAAAAAAGGCATGCAAGAGCAACAGAGAAAGAAAAGAAGTGCCAGCACATTTTACACAGGACAAAACACAAAGAAAGACGAAAAATTCAAAAAAAGGAATGACGATAGCAACAAGAAGAATCAATCGATTTGAAGAGCAAAAGGGGAAAGGCGAAAGTATTTTGAATTTTTGGATGAAGAGGAAATGGCTTGGCATGCTTTGGCTTATAAGAGAATATTATTTGCATATTATGTATGAACGATGCAATATTTTGCCTCGTGTATTTTGCACTGAGCTCATGTCAGAGAGAGATAGAGAGTGAGGGAAAAAAGATTATGAACACGACAACAAACAAAAACGGTGCTGTAATATGACATTGATTACACATTACTTGAACCATAAGGGCAATGGCACACACTTTAACAGGAAGAAATGGTGGAAAAAGGTGCATCAGCACCAATGCCTTTGCCAACATCGAAACATACATGCTCGGTGAGTGCAACGAGCGCAAAGCAACAATGACAACACATTGCAAATTCTCAGATAATGCCATATAAATCGAAACAATGATGATGAAACGATGCAACAGCATGTGTTACGATTGGCCCTGGATATGCCATCCGAAAATGTGTATGCATCTTTTTGGGTCTTTTTTTTATTGATATTTGTGTATGTTGTAATCGTGTCACTGAGATGTTGTAACCAAACATCTGATTGTGCATCGGCAATTTAACGCGTTGCTTTCAATATATGCATTCACACTCATACATCGAAAAGAAGAAGGTACTTTGCATCGCAACCAACTCTTCATCGACACTTTCTACCATTATCTGAAATCGCATATGACAGGCGGAAAAAAACACACATTCCCGAGATTTATTCGATAGATGATCACGTACTTGAAAAAAATGTTGATGTGCGTCGAATGCTCAATATTTAAGTGGAATAAACCACACACGAGCTATACCCAATATCAACATCACATCCTCTCTATACTGTATTCCAAAAGAGGGAGAATGCATTGTAAATGCGACACGACATGACACGAGACACAACCCAATCCAGCATACGAACCAATAAATTGATAAAAAGAGCGGAAAAAGCATAACTTCAAGTAAACATCATTGTCATAATGTACACAAAATTGCCCGAGAATACAACGACTTATAGCATGCAAAACATGCATTAATGCTGCACACTGTTCACAACAACAGATTTTTCTCTAGTGTTCTCCAGGTATACATATACATATGAACCCGTGAGCATAAAAACAACGTATTGACTCTTCGCCGATGAATACGAAACGCAAAAAAATCGCCGAACAAAGTGAAACACCAATCTGTTATTGGATCAATATGAAGCATGAAATCGTTGGCTACTATTTTATTCACGTTGCGCTTTGTTTCGAAGCGCGGCAAGTGTTTCATTTTGTTCCAGTAACAGAACGTTGTATCACTTTGTTCGGCGACGCGCTCAATGTACTGTTTTG